TATATATATATATATAATTTATGCATTTAGCAGACACTTTTATCCAAAGCAACTTACAGTGCAGGCTATACATTTTTTACCAGTATGTGTTCCCTGGGAATCGAACCCATATATATATAAAAAATATGGGTGTGTAAGTTCCATTTTTATTGCATTTTGTGGCAGAAAAAGGGTAAATAAACACAGATGAATTTTACTTGTATGAAATATGTGCATATAAGTATGAAAAATTGTCTTAGGCCTCAAAAGGGCCTAAATCTAATCATAAAATGTTGCAAGAAAAAGAGAGAGAGTAAAAGAGTGTTAAACTATTATTAAAAATTGTTTTGAATTAAACTATTATAAGCAAAATGCCTGTGATTGACATTAAAGTTATGCTTTCATTTGATGTTTCTAAGAAAATATTCACATTCATACACAATTTCTGTTAGATAGTGGTTATCCAAAGTCTTAAATCTAAGATGTCAAAGAATGTACTATTATTTATGTTTATTTATTAGATCACAATACTTTGTATATATTTCATGTAGAATATATTCAAAAAACAATTTGATTGACAATTTTATTGAACATTTGAGGAGAATTAAAAAAAAATGTATACATTAATATGAATATAAATGTATAGCTTGTGTATTTATGTATGTAAATTTATATTCAAATTTAAATACATTTTCATTTAATTGTAAATAGCATGCAATTAAGTTTGCACTTAAGTATATTCTGTTAGAGTATACTATTTCTATAATAAGTACTCCTTTTAAAAGAGCGTGCTTCTTATTATAGCTACTCTGAAGTTTGCAGTTTGTTTAGGCCATCTTGTATAGATCTACCCAGAATCCTTTTGTCATAATAGAATCAAATGTCATTTGTCGGATAATGTTCAAACACGGATGAGGTGTAGATTTTGAAACTGTTGTATTTAAAACATTTTTTTGCATTTGTCAGAACCATTTGCTTTATGATGTAATTTCACTGTTTATCACATACAACTTTTACAATTACACAGTTGCAATTTTACAATAATGTTGCATGATGTACATCATACAAACCTGACTGTTATGTGCTGGAAATACATGATTATTATCAGAGAGGGGAAATGAAACAAACAACACGCTGAAAGGGTTTGTATGACTGAGTGAAGTGAATGCATGAGCGAGAGAAAGAGAGAGAACATAAATGTTCACGGTGTAAAAACCATTTTAACTCTGAAGTGAGGCTCTAAGTGCTCCTCTGGGTGACTTTAAAAGACAAGCACGTGTTACTGCTGTAGAGGAAGTTAAAACAGCTTGTGCACCGTCACTAAATCAATCGTCACATTTTCCAAATACCAGTTATAAAACAGATTTCCTGCTTATTTTAAAAAATATTTCCCTCTCCTGTTCGCAGCTCCAGCCCTGTTCAAAACCTTTAAAGCCACCTAAACAACTACAGTATAATCCATTGATCTTTATTGTCAGTGTGATCATTCATGAACATGACATTGCAAACTGGTAACAATGCAGTTAAAATATGTAATGCATTTCCAAAATGTTAGAAGAAATACAATTAGTCTTAGCAATTACAGTCAGAGTAAATGTATATTTATATAATTTCATGTCAAATATAATGGATATTTAAATATTCCAAAAACCGTTTATTAAAAAAATCAGAAAATCAGAAAGGGTCAAACAAATCAGAAATGTATAGCCGACAGTTTAAAGAGGCGATACGTCTGATATGTTGAAGACAGAAAATAAATAAAACAAAAAGCAA